TCTTGCTTCTGAGTGTATTACCAGACCTGACCCCAGATGCACAGTAAATGTTCCAGCATGTTCCTCTCTTTGTTTATCCATCGCAGAGTGTGTGTACGTGCAGAGAGCAATTGTGTAACACCCGGAGACGAGTTCTGTCCTGGAGTTGGATGTTGTTCTGGCGAGTGTTAAGATCATCAGTGTTCTGTCCTCATCCTCAGGGGACTGTCTTCATTTGTGTCTTTTGTTTATCAAGATGTTTGAATATTAACACAGGCCATTTTTATGGTCATAATGAAGCAGTGTTGCATATCCGCACATCTGCACATTTCCATACCGCTCTCTAATTCTGCCTCTCTCCGTCTTAATTTCCTGCTCCATGCTTGCCATAAGAAGCACCATTTGCATATGTGTAAAAAGGTCTTCAGTCTGGGGAGCCACTCCTCCTCCTCCTCCTGCTTTCCCTCTGTATTCAGATATTTGTTTGTTTACTCTTCATTTGCATCGGGTGTAAACAACATTAATGTGGGGGTCTGTTGCCGTCGCGCCGGTTTAAATTTACATGTGTCAGATGACAAGTACCCGAAGACAAAGATGCTAATCGCTCCCACTAATCAGCATTCTTGCTCTTCAGCTCTGTCCGATGCCACCGTCGGTATCTTTACAGCCCTGTTACTGCACTGTGAGCCACTCATCCGGCTCATCAACCATCCACCGCAGTCCCCGACAGGTGCTGGTGACGCTGGTGTTTACACCCTCGATCCCTGCAGCACAAAACTTTAATATTCATGTCGGCCGATAAAGGGAATTACTTCTTGATTGCTTGGAGGAACATTGATACATCTGGCAGATAGTGAAAGGCTCTAGTTTGAGGATTCAGATCATGTTCTTTATTTATTTTCTCGCCTGGGCTAAACTTTCTCTGGGAGCAAAAGTCTATTAGCAGCAGCAGTCATTCCTTATCTCACTTGGCACACATTTGTTCCTCTACCAGCTCAAATGTGTCTTACAATACACATGACCTGTGGGGGATTTTAGGAAAAATCATACATGCTAGGTGGTGCATGGTGATGGGGCTAATCCGTGGGGTCTTGCAAAGAAAAGCTTGACATACAAAGCTTCCTAAATTAACAGAGCTTCTATTTACAGTAAAATCAGAGTGAATCAACATGAGCTACACCTACTGTCAAACTGTTTTTGCATTCTTCAGAGTATGAGGTGAATGAAACTATGAAAGGATCTCCTCTTGTCTTGACTTAAAGCACATTAACACATCTACCAAAGTGAAAAATGAAAGTTTGATGCAGAGCAGTATCATAAAGCCGCCGTGAGACTCTCTGGCCTGGGCCTGCAGGGCCTTTTCAACTGACACTGGCATCTCTGGGTAAAGAATGACCCTCATTTCTGTGGACACGGCGCTGTGTCCGCTCCCCCGGATCTGGGCGCCCATTCCATTTCATGGTGCATCGCCCCTGCGCGTGATTACGCCACGCTTTCAGGTGCAGAGGAGGAAATGTTTCGTGAAACTGATGTCCCCTGTCAACGCCGTGCAGCTCTCCCTTCTCTTTTGCCGAGCATGTCACCGCGCTGATTGGTGAATTACCATCCCGATGTGAGGAGCGGCCCCGCCCCCTGTCCTCAGATCAGTGGCCCCAGCAGCAAATGAGGAGCCGCATATGTTACAGAGGCGACGCTCTTCTGGCCTCATTTGCATTGGCTGAATGGAAATCAAACGGTTTAATGTTAAAGCGGATCTGGTTAATGTGGTGGTGTCAACACTTTAAACACACATGCATGCACACTTACCGATTAATGCCTAACAACCAAGAGGTAAGCGCATAACACACCTACACAAATGCATGGACAAAATCAAAAACGCTTGACTGCTGCCTGTTGCTGCTTTAAAACAAACAAAAAAACAGGGATGACATCAGTTCGTCTCTAAAACCCCAAGGTAATGACATCATCTTATCTCTCGGAAAGTGCTTTTTTTTGGATCTACAAGTTGAACGACAGCCAAAGAGAACATGCATGGCGAGGAGAAGCAGCTGATTTGATTGGGATATGTGTAGTAATTAATTAGTCATTAGTTGATTCTTTGGGCAGCTGAGGCGACGAAATGTAATCTCCTCGGCAGTTCTGTGAAATTAACACTCAAACTCTTGCCCACTCACTTTCACAGTCCCACAGTCTCTGACTCTCCAGGTTTATTTTTAAACCTTGAATCCCACGTGCATTACCTAAAAAGCAAAGCAAACACCGCCATGTAATGTTTTTGCAATTATCCAGAGCTTCTTTCTACACACACACAGTCCTTCATTTACGTGTGATATCATCTCTGGCAAACATTTTTAATGAATTATTTGGGTTTCCCTTATTGACACAAATCACACACACCAGACAGCAGAGGGTGAGTGGGTGTGTGGTTGTCTGATTTTGGGTGTGTATGGTGGCGATGTATATATATAAGAGAATATGTGTAGTCATTTGAGGCATGAATGGGTGCATACACAATCTCTTATACATGTGTGCACACTTTGGGGTATATGTGGGTCTGTGTGTCTTGGCAGGTTGGTGTTGAGCCCTGGGATTCTCCTTCAGGTCTGTGTTGGTCTATTCTCGACCAGAGACGCTGGCTCAGTAGACTGGAATCCTTCAGGGCACCAGGGACATCTGATTCCCCCACTGCCTAAGCACTGAACTAAATGCTCCTGCATTATTCATGTGTATATCACTTTATTGCTGTGCAAGGTTTTCACTCAAAGTTTCTGCGCACCATTTACTGTAGCTACCCCCCAGACGTTAACTGACAAAGTTTTCCCCATCTCCCTTTCTCTCTCCCTCTTCCTCTCTGTCTCTGTCTCTTTCTCACGGATCCCTTCTTCCATAATGAGGACAAGACATTGTCTGAAGAAGTGCTTACGAAATCATTCAGCCACTGGGTCCACATTTCTCCACGGTCAGGACCAAACACAAGACAGATTTAGGGATGTGCAGTTTTGTTGTTGCATAAACTTAAAGGCAAATTAAACAAACAGCGGCTGTTCTGTTCTGCAATGAAAATAAACTGTGTTGTAACAAGATAGTGCAATTAGGCCCTCCAATCAATGGAATTAAAAGCACCGTTTAAGCAGTTAGACTAATTTTAGTCTTAAGTTTTCAGCAGGATAGCATGTGAATACTGGGAACAAAGCAATTAAAAGCCTTGTTCTGCAAATAATGAAGATAAAAGCAACATCTAAACAAGCTCCCTGACATTTTTAACTTACACCTTTGGGACTATCCTGTCAGTAAAACATGAAGAGTAACATCAGCTTAAAACTTTAGACTTGTATTGTCTGTACAGGTCAGTAAATGTTGACACATAACACAAACAAAAGCAACGCCATCTCACTAAATAACCGTGGGAAACAGGATGCCTCTCATCCTGACAGTCCTGCTTGTCTTGAATATCCGGCACGCTCACCTGTCATTGTAAAGGTAAGGGGTTGTAGAGGTTACTCAGCAGGATGAGGCCACAAGCTAGTCTGAGCAAATTACCTGCAGCTATGTGACATATGTGTGAAAGCTGTTGACTTTGGATGACTGTGGAGTTGTCCATGACCATGAAGAGTCATACGTGGGACTTGTTGCTTTCAACTATAGACTTTACATAGAATGGATGCCGCCTGCAACCTCGCTGGGTGAAGCCACTCTGAGAACAGCACCCTCTCGTGGTGGGCTGCAGTATAGGTCATAAATCCCGCCTCCGCCAGCAAAGCTTATAGGGTTGTGGACAAACTTTAGAAATTTATTACACAGAACATGAATTTTTTTCCCCCCTGCTCGCGATGTTGACATGTAGTTATTGTAAGACTGGTTTGTGCTCAAGTCCTCTTTTTTCTGTACAGTTCCATTTTTATGTTTTCTATGATTGACACTTGATACAGCCTATGGGCGTACAAGGATTGTGTAGCTCACCCAGGGGATACACTGTTTGAGCCGAGTGTCATCACAGCGACTCTCCCGGAAGGTGGATCCTGGTGGAAGGCGGAACCAAGTTGTCCATAGTATATACAGTTTGTGCATTCAACATAGGGTCCTGCAGTATGTATGTTATTTTTGTTTATCATATTAACCCAAAGACTTTTGTAGAGGGTGTGCTTGTAGGTGAAATTACGTTACAAAAATTTGTTACCATGATTGCAACTTAGCACATTTGAAACGCTACAATGCACCTGCAAAGTGTTGGATAGGAAAGTGTTCAAATATTAGCAATATAGCATAGTTGTCATTGGTTTAGCTGTGATGCCACTAGACACAGGGGACCAGCAGACAGCCTGGGACACCATAAGGAATGGAGATGTTATACCTACTGCTTTGGAGTTATGAATAAGTTGTGTTTATTGAAAATTAAAAATAATTAAATGAGGTTTGAGAAAGAAAAATGATCTCATGTGTTCCAGTAGGACATGGGAACCACAAATTCTTGAGAAAATTGCAAGCTAAACCAACAAAGGCAGACATATTAAATTGTTGTAGGTTGAAGGAAAATACTCAAATTCAATCACTTTCATTTTTTGCTTTCTGCCAAACAGTAAAAAGAAAAAAAATGTGAAAACCAAACCATGTGGAATACAAGGGACCAAGCAATCAGGAAATGGGCAAATGTGTAGAATATTAGAAAAGTAACTTAATACAACATAGGAAAAAGCAAAAAAATAGCAAACTTGGCCCAAATCTAAAAGAGATGAACTTAGCAGAAAGAACCAAAGTACCAACCTAACAGAACATAACCAGGTCTAACTCAGATGGGACTTGCAGGGGATTATAAAGGCAAAGGACGACTCCAAGATAAACACAAGGGGAAACTTAAAGTGACAACAAAGTAAACATCTAACAAACTTAAAAATACGTCAACACAAAAAACCTCTTCAAATAAATTGTTTACAGAAATAAACACTGTATCTGAGGACTGACTCAAAAGTAAAGACAAAGGATGATCTTGAAAGTGAGAAGTCCAACTCTCTCCTTCTTTACCCCCCTGATGGTCTCTTCCACTTCCTATGGGCGGGGCTTAAAAGGCCATCTTAAGTTGCCAGTTAGCCTTTTGTCTGGAGAGCTGAGAAAACAAACGAACAAACGGGGTAAGTAACTTGAAATCAAGAGCAAGTGCAAACTAATTTATGATCAATTAAAATGTGTGACATTGCTAACTGAACTATGTGCACCCAGCTTAAAAAGACACCTGCCATGACTGAAATAAATACAAATACTTACTCAAGGTGACAACAGCTGATTTAGCCACCATATGCAAACTACAAGAAATAATAATTAACCCATGAAATGATTTAAACTCACCAAGTGTCTGAAAAAGTTTGAATCCAGTAATCATTGGGTAAAATCCAAAGACTCTTTTCTCAAAGGAAGACTTTCTGAATGACTTCATGGTCATTAATCTTTGATGGCCACTGGCGAGAGTGAGCCCAGCAGAGTGTGTTTGATGTTTGTTTTTTGATTTGACTGAGTGATGAAGAAGTCCTGTTGTGTGACACTATGGCAAACTGTGACCATGGGCTGACAGGGGAAAACAAATGTGGAAATTACGGCTAAAAGATTGGACACTCTTTTATCTGCTGAGAGAGGATTATTTGTTAGAAACTGACAGTTAATATGCTCATCTTCACCCCTACAGCGAAATCTTTCTACTTGCATTTGGTTGAAGTAAAACCAAGTTTCGTTTGTGTGTTTGTAGTCTGTGCGCTCTGCCATGCTGAGGAGCTTCATCTCTGCTACCAAGAAGGGAGCAGAGGCACGGAATGACTAGCCAGGTTGTGTAACTTGATGCTCAAGCAGTTTAAGAAGCTTTTTTTGCAAGTAATGCTACATGCTAGTTAACCCTAGGACACTATCCTCGGGTGATTTTCACCCGACCAAACGTTTACATGATTTTCATTATGTTGCATTTGTCTGAGTATCATGGGTCCCTGGGTAGCTTCAGCATGGCCTTTGACATCTTTGAAGGCATATTTGTTCCCCTGATCCTAAACCGGCTTTTCCTTCAGGCACGTGTTCGGGTGATTTTCACCCATCAATAGTGATAGAGGGTAAAGTAGGTTTGGGTGGATTTGAAAGCTGCGTGTAGGTAATAAGGTCAGTAAGAGTGGTCCTGGAATTTGCCTGCTATCTTTATATAGTGCAGTGGTTATGAATAACTATCACAAAGTAGTGATTTTTAAGGGAATTCATATGATGATGAGAAATATTTAAGTCAGCTGGTCATTTTTACTCACTCAAAATACGTCATAATTTGGTTCTCTCTCCTGCAGCTGTTATTGTGCCAAGGGAAGACTCACATACCCCAGGAATGGGTGGGGGAAAAAAAATAAGTTTATTTATTTATTTTTTCGAAATTTTTGTTCATGAATGCAATAATTATAATAATTTCAGTTATTTTTTTTGCATTTTTATACTGTCCCCTCATTACACTTTTCCCTCTCCCTTTGGACATTGAGCAGTTAAAAAGAAAAGAAAACAACTTTAATTTGTCATGTATTGTCCTATTTTGATATATTTTGAAGACAAGTACTTTTTCTTGGGTATATTATTTCAGGCAAAAATCACCCGGCGAAAGTGATGGTGGTACTAATTTTAGCGATAGTGTTCTAGGATTAAGCTACATTTACTGCAAACTTCATCAGCACATATTAGTCTTTATAATCTTACCCAACATCCTTTTCTAAAATGTAAACTAATGTTTTAAAAGGAGTCACACATGCATCAGGCTTGCAGTCCACACAGAATGGAGCATGAGTCCACTTATGGACTACAGCCCAAAAATTGGTACCTACCAGTAAGCCTGCAGGAGCCCTGACTGACAGGTGTCAGGTTTCTGTGCGCTGAATGGAAAGGGAACCCGTGCAGAGAGTTAAGGCTAATGCTCTTCCTGTTGGAGCCTCACAATGTAAGGTCATTCCAGGGATCAGGAGATCTGTTTAATCCGCTCCCGGGTTCCCCCTGGTGCAAAACAATGCATGTAGAGATTTTTGCAGTCCTGGCAGCAGATAAACATCCAGGGAAGCAGAGGAAGAGCAGGGCCGACCGCAGAGCTGTTGCCGTGGAGTTGGGTTGAAGATAATGTGGTATGACGTGCCGTTTTGATCTGGACTGCTTTAACACAAGACGCTTTGAGCCATACATGGGGAAAATGCAAGTCTGTGCTAATTACCTGAGTGAGCCAGACAGACAGGGCAAACAAGCAAGAGAGGCACAGGGAGAGTTGAAGCTCAGCCAGAAAACTTCCACACCTTCTGACCCGCATTACCGCACAGCCATTGGCTTTTCTCCCTGGTCAACACAGAGCAGCAGCCGCCTGCCCTTATTGTGTTGTTGCTCCAATCCGACATGTTTGGTGGCGGTTCAGCTTTGATACGACAACAGGCATTTAGTCATCCACTCGCCTGTGCGCTTCTTTGTGCTCCCTCACTTGCCTTCTTTCCACCACCAGCTTTCACTTGAATCTGAGGTGGAAAAGAAAGAGATGGGAAGTCCCACTGGGGATGTTTCTGAGTCATCTAAGTTGTCTGAAGAATTGCTGTACATGTCTGGCAAGCTAATTGGACCCCAACCAAACCAGAGCCTCCATCCACAGTATGTTTCAGATGAACGGCTGATAAGGTTTGACAGCAAGGCCTTTAAAATGTCAAAGCAAGGAGCCAGCACAATGCTTAGCCCACCTTCTCAGAAAACACAGCATGTGAATTGTGAAATTACCACCGATAAATATAATGGACAAGACTCCCTACTTTGCCGGGCAACATGCGGGCCGGCTCTCTGTCGCTGCTGGGTGCGAAGGCCACGGCTCAAACTGCCTCAGTCAAGGCATCCATGCTCTTTGTGTGTGACAATAAGGGGTGACAAAACAGAAAGGACAGCTTTTCTAAAATGTCAGACGGTTGGGGTCCTGCAGAAATATCTCCCCTCTCCCTTTCTGTCTATCTTGATCGATAAAGCTACCTTTGACAATGCTGCATGTTGTCACCATGACATTTGGTCACCCTTCTTTTTCCCCCTCACCTGGCTTGCCGCTGAATAGGAAAATAACAATGAGATTTAATACGGGATCAATAGCTACACTCCAATGATACATTCGCTCGCATAATGAATACAGATGGATGAAAACAAATACCTGCATGGGGAATTTGTATTCTGGACAGCACTTCTGTAATAGCCGTGCCGATGATGTTTCATTACGCTTTTTCGGTTTGTGTGTTCTTTCTTTCTGGCCACACAATCAAATAAAGGATATAGGCATGATTTAATCAAGGATATGGCAGTAACGTCAACCCAACCTCTTGTGTATTTATGAAGAGTGCCGTGTGTGTGCACTTGCATCTATGTGATCTCATGCCCATGAATATCATGCCATTGTTTGCATTTCATTCAACAGATATAGGCTTAGTGCAATATGTATAATAAATACTGAAAATGAATTGATCTTTACCACATGTCCATGTGCGTATATTGAGTTATGTTCCTGCAGTGTACGTTCATAATGTTTGTACTGCACGCATGGATTTGTGACTGGAATATACATGTGTGGTTTATCTGTAATTTTACATTGAGTCCATATATTTGAATTGTTTACTATACATGTTGAGTGCATGGTAATAGTATGTTTAGATGATAACTATAAGTCTGAATGCATGCCGATGTATGTATGGATACATTTGCCTTTGTGAGTGTGTGTGTCCATGTGTATCAGGTCTTGCAGAACAAATTAACTTCCATTAATTGGATGTGTGAGTGCATTACTCGGTGCATAACTTCATGCATTTCTGTGACTGCCAATCCAAAAACACGCCTGCTATCCTCCATCCTGCTGTTGTTTGATAGTCAGCTCAGTGTATTGTGCTGTTTGGTGTTGGGCTGCGGGCCCTGCGTCTGGGCCCCTGCGTGACTGACGCCTCATTCGCCCACTGTTTAAACATCTCTCCACGTGTTTCCCTTTTGATCAGCGTCTGCCATTCTTACTGATTTTCCAAATCACTGATGCTTGTCAAAGAATTAATTACCTGGATCGTTGCTCCGCTGACTCCGGCACCAGCTGCGGGGTTCACCAGAGAGACCTCGGCATTCTCCCAGCATTCCCGGCTAATCACCCATGATCCGTTTCAAAGTCAACCTGATTGGCCCGCTACCTGGAGAATAATGTGGAATTAGACCGCATCCTGACAGTAACAGTTTCCTATTTGCATACAGTATACGGCAGATTAGCTTGCACAAGCCTGCCAGTGGGAGGTGAATATCAGCATCAGCGCCAGTGCTAATGGCAGTTGCCTCCTACAGTTTATTAGATAAGTAATGGTGTAGAGCATTGTGCTAAGCGCACATCCTTACTGCGTTATTAGCTGATGTGTTGCACAATGTGTTCATTAACCATGGGAGATGAACATTTCAACATGTTCGCCTTTTCAAAAGACAGAAAACAGAGTGATCTCCCTAAAGTGATCGCTGGTTTGGAGGTGGTGAGTGTGTATTTTTACAAAAACCACCACCAAAGCCACTCTCCCTCGCACTTGGACTCATAATCATTCTTTAAACCCATCTTGAACAGGCTGTATTCAAGAGGGGTTTACCTCCAGGGTAAATGTGGCGGTACCGCTTGCTGTGAGGATGCACAGGCAGCGAGACTATAAATACTCCCAGTCTGCTCGTTGGTTTGTCCGTTGGCCTGTCTGTCCGTCTGCCTGCCTCCCTGCCTGCTGGTGTGTCTGCGGGGTTGCAGCAGCATGACGTCAGCCGCGGCTCGGAGCACTCACTGACCTCTGTCACGGCGAGAGGAGGGTTGCGAGCTCCAGACAGTCGCAGACGATGCAGGCAGGACATAAACACAGAGACCTGAGTGCATAGGGGGATATGTTTCAACATGTTGCAGTGCAGCTGGGGACGAGCGATCACAGAGGAGTGCAGACTGGCTGGCTGGTACAGAGCAGGGCGTTCAAAGATCCATGCTGACAGGTTATATAAAAATGGAAATCAGTAAGTGAAGAGGAATATTATTCAGAGAGGGAGACATAAAAATACAACTTTGAGTCCGTCTGCACTCACACAGAGCGACTTTTAAGTGTAGACTTGCAGCATAAAGCAAAGACAGGAGAGTAAATTAAGCTACAGAAAGTAGGTGTAATTGCTTAATTGCTGCATTTAGCAAGCACGTGCTTCAGATACCCTCTGAGCTAACCAGCCGCAGCTATTGTTACCGTGTGTCACTCCTGGTGTGTGTATGCCTGTGTGCGATCATTGTAGTCATTACCTAGTTTCCATTTCTTGCCTGAAGCAAAGTCAGAAGTGGCAGTCTTTCATTCTGACAAGTTGTCATTCAGGTAGTTTTCTTTTTTTCCCCCTCTCCAGTTTCCTTCAGAGGCTGTCCGACTCTGCTTTCATAATACCTCAGAGGTTTCTGTCAGGTTTGTTGCTGACAGCAGGTAGAATTTGTGTGTCAACAGAAAGTTAGGTTGTTAATGAATCAACAGAGCTGTAATAGGCTCCCAAAGTAACAGAAACAATGTGTTTTTTTCTTTTTATTCAAATTATAACCCCGCTCATCCATATTTCTACAATTCAACACGAGATATAGAAGTGATCTTTACTCTGGGCCATGCTCGACCTTAAACTGCTTCAAAGCAGGGTCTCTGACACCATTTTCAGCAAATAAGTTCTGTCAGGATTTTGAGCCATCTTCTTTTAACCTTTGGTAATTTTAGCTCGCGCATTTTATTTCATGTCTCATGCCATTACTCAATGTCTTGTTCCATAGAAGGCTCAAAAACTCAGCAGGTCTCCTCAGGCTTTTTCTTTCCGCTCAAATCCTATTTTACACAGACACTGTATTAAAAGCAAGTGCATTTTCTGCATCACAAATAGCCTCTTTTTATTTACAGCAGCAAAAATGGAGGGTGTTTTCTGCCACATTTACCTGTAGTTGCCTCAGCACTCTGGATTCATTATCTGAAAATTTGGGCAGTGGAGTGCATTTTCCCTTCCAAATAAACTCACAGATGGAAGACATCCATGGGGCCCTTAGGGCCAAATGACAAGCCCAGAGTTGGATGTTTTTCTTATTTGGCTTTTGCATGAGTTTGACCTTCAGTATGGAAGGCAATTTAAAAAATTGGCTGCCCTGATATTTGGTTGCAGAGATCATGGCTGTGTCAAGTGTCACACTTTGTAGCATATGCCCTTGAACTGATGTGTTTTACAGCATTTTTGTTTTAAATAAGCTGTTAAGGCAGGATGATTAATGATCTTACTCTGTGCCCTATGCGACTTTATCATGCAAAACAACTGTTTTGTTCTTTTCATTTATGCACAGCTGAATTGCAGCACTTCCTCATTCTGGATCTTTCTTTTTACAGAGAAGTTATTCCTCATATGTGTGTAATAGAGATGAAATAATGTCCAGGAAAAGCCAAATATCTTCTTTAAATACAGGTTTTTTTTTGTCTTGTAATTCCTGCTTTGCTGTATTAAGTGGACTATAAAAAAAACTAAATGGTTTCAGTTGTCCATCCCTATATGTTTCAAATTGAATATAAAATTTTTAAACTTATCATCCTTCTTGCCGATATGACTTTGTTTCACCATTTCAAAGCATTGTCTACCATGCCATGAAAGCAATCGGGTGAAAACACATTGCTTGTGCCCTGGGCCTTGCTGTTCACAAACCCCATCTCAAGTCAGAGATATGGTATAAAACCTTTTGGATCCATGCAAAAAAGCACCTTGCACTGAAGTGAGAAATTGGCTATGAGTCATTATGCACAAACACCAAATGCCTTGGCATTTTCTGTCCCTGCCAAACAATCATCTTCTTTCTCCTCTGTCTATTTGCAATTAATGATTGAATTTCAGTCCCCCCAAAAATCCCATTTCTGCTTTGTGTATGTATCCCCAATACACACAGCTGCTACCAGTACACACGGCAGCATGCACAGCAAAGCTTATCTCCAGCCTTTAGATGGGGGCCTATGGAAACAGTCTTGATTATTTCCCTCCTTCTCCAAAGCACCGCTGTGTGCTTTGGGATTAGAGGCTTTCTGTGGCGGCTGCACATGCACACTCACTGGCTGCAGGCAAGAGAGCGAGCAAAAGAGAGAGAGAGCAAAAAGAGAGAGAGAGGGAGTTCTTCTGCTCAATAAACCCCCCGTCTCCCCACCTCTCTGCTCGCTCAGTACTCAGCCACCCCCTCCTTCTCCCCCTCCTTAACTCCCTCCCCATGCCCAACACACTAGCCAGTCCTGGGAGTATTACATCACCCTGATGTAATGTCTAACCAATCACAACACAGCAGCGCTAAACCTTCCAGGATTATGGAAGTCCGTAGCTCAGACTGGGTAATGAGAGAGCGAGGGAGACGGAGAGACTAGCAGCATCACTCATACATATTTTCAAGAATAGCCTGTGGATCAATTTTGCCCCTGTTCCCTCTTTTTCCTGAAGAACTGAAATAAAAATACACACTGTCAAGGTGCCTTCTAGACTCATACTTGAGACTTGAGGAATTGAGAATTCAACCGGATGAGCAATTACAGGACAAAGCGTGCTTTTATGGTTGATTTTCACTGCATTTCATCAGGGATCTTAGGGCAAAAACTGTCAATGTAACATACGGGATAAGATACCCAGACCTATAGAGTCTAACAGAAAACAGTAAATAATTTATTAGGGTTGTTATAGATGATGAAAACTTTGATGTTGACAGTGGAGTAGTTATGTGGGGTGTTTTAGAAGTAAAATGATTTCTTGGGGTTGCTTGAGAGGCTGTATATTGATTGATGATGCCTGGTCTGTTATGGTGAGTTTCTTTTTCAACGTGGACTTTTGGCTTGCTTTCATTCACTACTACTGTGAAAACAGCTGAATGTGTGCAGTATGAGTCCCTAGATAAACTTCCCAGGGACAATAAAGTGTATGAAACCATATCTTCTGTATTGCATCATATCTTATTGATCGTATCTTATCATTTTGTTCTGAGTCATTTCACACCGCTTCATGCAGCACCATTGGGTTCATTAGTTGTATCGTTCAGTTCCATTTTTTAGCTTCACATTTGTGTCATTATTGTACTACTTGTATCATTCTTGATCATTAAAGCTACTATAAGGAGTTTTTTGATGTGACTGAAATAAACTGAAATTCAAATAGATGCTTTTTTTCGTGGTGTCAGGCAGCAAACGAGACCATCAAGGACAAGATTGTCATTTTTAATGTCTCCAACTGCCACTAGGGTGTCAGGTGTCAAGAAACAGGTGTGAAGAAACAGCCTCTTTTTTACACTGTCCACATCAAAAAAAGTTGTAGCTCTGACCGTCAAAGTCAGCAGGATGATTTTTTTTTGGGGGAAAAAACTTTCTATTTTTACTGTCAGATTGTGTCTCTCAAATTTAACTCCACCTGCTTTAGTGTTTAAATTCCTGGGTTAACCCATTCTCTAATTGAACGTACATGTCTTCCCAAGTCATGAACGCTTATTTCCCACTGTTTAGTGTTAAAAAAGAATTCTTATCACCTTCCACTGTGTATATTTTCACAACAGGTTCCTTCATTGAGCAGTAGTACAAGTAAAACGAGCCAATTATCTTCTCTTAATAATGTGCGTGGATGTCAAAGTTGTAGGCGGTCTTTAGTGTCCTCTGAGCCATGTCTGCCTATTAACTCTGCTCTTTCTTGTCATCGGTCTCTATGGAAGATGAAGAGTGTCTATCACGTTGATTGACACTGCATAGTATCACCTTTTTTTTTTACTTGCCACATACACACACTAGACACCTATACACCCTCCCCCTATGCAGCCATCACCTCCATCCCAGCACTCAGACACACACACACACACATCCCTTACTCATCCCCTGCAGGCACAGACACCATCAGACGGTGCAGCAGCAGCAGCAGCAGTAGCAGCTTGCAGTTTGCTGTTTGCTGTGTGGTATGCATGGAGTATAGCTGCCACACCAGTGCCACACTGCAGCTCTGCTTGCCGGAGGGGGAAACTCACACGTCTGCGTAGTAAATGTATGTAGCTGCAATGGGAACACTTCAGGGAAATTACTGCATTGTGTAGGACAGCATAGGGAATGCTCGGTTCTGCCAGGAAAGTCTCGCCCTGGGAATGATGAAGCACTGATGGGATGGCAGGAGGCAGTATGCTGCAGAGAAATGCTCACTTCCAGAATCAATGTTCCATACCACCCATACTTATCTGCACTTAGGGTTGTTTCACAGTGCAGTGGTAAAATTGCGGCTGTTTCAGTGTTTCCACCATCGTGCGTGTACTGTATGTAAGTGGAAAGTTCATACCAAAGTCGTCAAGGTAAAACAGTTTTGATCGGTATCAAGGGGCCTCACACTTTCCAATTTCTGAACCCATTCCAAAGTCAAAGGCATATAGAGCAGTTTCTCTATGGCTGACATCACAGGTTTCATATTCTGTGTGTGTGTGTGTGCATGTGTCTGTGTGTGTGTCTAAGCACAGCTGAGGTAATCCTAACACCCTCGTACCTAAAGCCCGTGTGTATGTGTGAGGGAGTGCTGGTAGCGTCTGTGGTGTCAGGTTTGCTTTTGGTTTAGGTCTCAGAGTGTGGGTGGACATTGAGAAAAGTGTGGCTAGTTTACCTGAAACACACTCCTAATTCCTCCCCACC